TCAAAGGGCCACACTTGAAGACCGAGAGGGCCACATGTGGCCTCTAGGTCACAAGTTCCCCACGCTTGCACTATACCATACTCCCTTTCAGATATATAAGTATAGTAGCTAAATGTATATTGTCATATAATGATATTTCTATAAGCGTAAGCATAAAAAAAAATCAGCTTATATACTACCTGGAGCATCACCACAGAATTTTAAGTTCGAAGGGACCCCAGGAGTTCTCTAATCCTACCTACACCTGGAAAAAAAGGGACCACCAGTGGCCCCAAACTATACTTTGAGAATAACTGCTGTAAAAGAAATACTGGATTAACTATGAAATCTTTAGCATGATTTATTAGACTAGAGAAAATACTTTAATGTCAAGTAACTGTTGATGTAATATGAAATGAATTATGCCAACTACAGTAAGTTATCATGATGTTAAGCAACAAAATCTCCTTATGTTTTATTTTTCCAGTATCTGAGATTTTATTATAGTAAGCATTTATTCACTTTTAAAAAATAAAATGAGACTGATTACACAAAACTGATAGAATAAGATCCAGTATCTTTTATTCCTCAGAAATTAGTTACTTTGTAATGTTTTCTACTCTTGTCTTAATTTTTTTTTCCTTTCTGTTTCTTCCCTTCCATTTTTCCTTCAACATCTGTGATGTAAGGAAATTTTTTAGCCTTCAATTTTAAGTTACCTTTAGGCTGTTCTTTGTATCTCTACATCATGCAATTTCCACATTAGGAAGGTCTCAATAAATATTTCTTGAGTGATTAAAAACTAAATTTTGAGGCTATTCATTTGTGTTTTCTTTCTTTGCTTTTTTTTTATTCTCTGTAGTCTTGAATAGGAAATTAATTTGAGAAAAAAATTTTCTCAGGTATTGAATTAGTAGAGATCAGGTGATTATGCCTTAGTGTTTGAAGTTCATTTTCTTTTCCCTTTGTGCCTATTGATGCCTGGTGTGAAACATTTTAATCTTATGGTTCCTATTATATAAAAAGACTTATCTGGTTGTAAAATGGTTATTTGCAGAATGATATAATGAAAAGAGTTCTGGAATTGGAATGAGAGGACCTGAGTGTGAATCCCATCTCTGCTACCTATTAGCTGAATGACTTTGGGTCTCATTTTCTTCATTTGTACAATAAAGGGATTTAACTAAATGACCTACCTCTAAGTTTCCTTCTAGCTATAAATCAGTGATTTGTCCTGTGAGAAGAAAGGCAAGACATTTCTTCCCATTCTGCCTCTTGCTCGAACCTTCCTCTATATTTTCCTCTGAAAGGGTGCATGAAGCCTTACATTGATTACAGTGCACGTTCCTATCCATTGACAGTTGTAAGGAAGAAAGTCAGACTTGATAATAGTAACCTAGAAAAGATTTACATGTAATATATGTCCCATTCAATCTTACATGGTACATTTCAAAAATCCCCTTTACTTTACTTGTAAGGTATTTCCTTGAGAGTTGATGGGTCCCAGTCAATAGTTTGTGATCTGTTTTCATGGGAATAGGTTCTCCTTGAATGAATACTGAATAGATTGTATAATGGAAGCTACAGTATTTGGCTCTTTTTCCTCCAAGCAAAGTCCTAGCCTATCCTACAATGAACCAAATAATTTAGGAGAGGCAGAGAATATGTTTGGACCAGCATAAGGAAACAGAAAATTTTGGCTTGGTTTATCTGGATCTATACACGGCATTCCTTCATCTCACTATGTCTTGACTTGGCGTAAGAATGGGAAAGCGCAATCTCTCTTGAATTAGATGTGGTCTCCAGAAATCTAACAAAATATCTCTGTGTGGCCTCTGTCTGTATGAGCTGAGGAATCATTTTATGGACTTCAGTATTCAACAAGATCCTTAACCAATTAGTGACAATAAATACAAATGTACAGTTCCTGTCTTACATCCAAATTATTACCAGAGGAAGTTCCTTTTTTTTTCCATTGGCCAAAATTTGGGATTTCCTCTTACTGCTTCCTGAGTATCTTCATCCTAGTCCTTCATCTCCCTCTGTTACTGATCCAGAGTGAGGTCTTTGGTAGCAAAGGGAAAAGACATGAAGTGGTAAGTTCCCAAAATAAGAGCATTCCTCCATCTGACTACCACTAATAAGGGTTTTGTCAGGCAGTAGCTTGTCAGTCAGGCCTTGTGCCTAACCTATGTCCTTTCCAAGGGCTATGGAACTCCAAGGGGACCATAAATTTTAATAGGAAAAATATCATGATGCCTTCGTTGGCCTCCTTTTATAATCCTACTAATTTTATTCTGTGCCTTTAAAATATTTTTCTGACAAAGTGTCTATAGTCTTCTTCAGAATGCCAAAGTTGTCCATGGCACATAAAAAATGATTAAGAACTCATGTCCTAAAGTGTCTTATACCTGGTACTGTAAATGCCCAGAGTTCTCAGTAAGTTTGTCTATTTATCCTGAAATGTAGATGAATCTGGGGGCAGCTAGATGGTACAGTGAATAGAGTCAGGAGGACCTGAGTTCAAATCCAGCCTCAGACACATAATACTTACTAGCTGTGTTGACCCTGGGGAAATCACTTAACTCCATTGCCTACCCTCCCAAAAAAAAATGTGCATGAATCTTTGGTCTTTTGTGAACCTTAGGGATCCATTAGTATTACTTAACAGGGTCCTCTTTTCTAAGTCAAAAGAGAATAAGAACACTTCTAATCCCATTTACTAGCATACTATTATAAAAATCTACCAGGCAGTTTCAGAAAGGTTGTGTGCTTGTTTCAGGGATAGCTCAATGAAGAAACTTTAAGATGGCTTGCTGATTTTGCAGAAACCAAGAAAGGTCAGAAACCTTGTCATAAAACAGTAGATACTGCTAAGGAAAGGGACAAGGGCATGCTAATCCCAATAAACTTAAAGGGAAAAAAAGTGGAAGAAAGGGAGGTGGCCAAGACTGAGAAATGTCCCAGAGAAGGGCTTACAATCACAGAAAGCTCTTCTACCATTAGTAGAAACCCCCTTCTGTTGGGACCTCATCTAGGCCTGACTAGTGGTTTTCCTTTTTGCTCCCTAAATGGGAAAGAGGGAATGATGGTTTCTTGGCAGGATTTGATTTGTTTGTCTTTGTATTCCTAGCACTAAGCATAGTGCCTGGCACTTAGTAGGCATTTCATAAACACTGATGAAGTGAGTGAATGAATGAATGAATTGATGTAATATGTTGCTGGTATTTCAAGTTAGGACTCTGAATGTATTTTCTATAGAAATATCATTCAACATGATGATTAGGTTCTACAGTAGTATAGCTACAACACTGTGCTACATTGTTTACAAAATGGGGCTAATAAAGGGACCGGCTTACAGAGTTGTTGTCAGGATCAAATGAAATAAAGCACTTGGCAAACCTTAAAGCTCAGTATAAATGCTTTATCATCATCATCATTACATTCTAAGTTAAATAAACTTTTGGGGGGCAAGCTGGGGAAATGACTCTGTATAATACTGTTTCTGTGGAAAAAATAGGTTCAGAATTCCAATCAACTTTTTTTTCCAAACAAACTTTTGAGACACAACTGGATTGTAAGCTTTTTGCAGAGAGGTACTATGTCATTTTTCATCTTTGTATCACCAGTACTTGGCATGGTGTCTTGCATATAGTAGGTGCTTAATAAATGCTTGTTTAATTGAACTGGGGGGTTGCTTTTTTGTTGAGATTTTACATTGAAAAAGCTATATTTTCATATGAGCCAATTTTAAAATCTTAAACCAAATAGTTTTCAAAGTTGAAAAAATAGTAGCATGAATTATTGAATAACTTTGAGTCCAAAGTAAGGATTAAGTGTATGTAAAATTAAATTTTTAAAAAATTTCTCTTTTTCACTAGACCATGACAAAAAAGCATATGAAACCACAAGGGAGGACTCCCCTTGCCTTTTCGGCCTTGTTCTAGCAAAAGACAGCCAAGCTGATTTAGAAGTTTGAAAGTAGGAAAGGAAATGGGAAAGCTCCAGTTCAAAATAATTTTTAAAGGAAATATTATAAACATAACAAAAATCAATTAATCTGACTCTAGTTTTTAAGTCATAGACACTACCATTCCTCCAGAAATACTTTTAGCTCTGAAGTTGTGTACCTCTTGAAATATTGACCCTTTTGAAGTACACACTGAAAAAAAAAATTTGGAAAAACATCTAAAAAAACCATCAAACATCTGAAAACTGAAACATCAAGAAAAAAACATGTTTTTAGTGAATCTCTTCATTATTTTCCAAGTTGCAGGTTCATTTTCTCATTCCTTTCCCTTGACAAGCTCAAGTCAAAATAGGTCACATTTATCTATCCCTTTCAGATTTACAAAGCCCTTTTACATAAATCATGCCATTTGAAAGTGACACAAAAGTCATCGTGTTGACTATTGATGTAATTTGAACTCACTAAAGAATTTTGAAACAGTTTGAAGGCAAATCTCCTGAACTTCTAGTATTTTCTTAGATTTAATAATGAAGATAAATAATGAAGGCAATTATAATTACGTGATATTGATTTCAAGTGTTTGATTTAAAACCAGGGAAAATCTCTGACATTTCTTTGTAAGAATTTGTATTACTATAAAGCTGAATCCTGATCCGAGGTCATTCTAAAAAAAAAGGTATAAATCATATAAAGTTGTGTGAAGCTTCAAATCCTAACTTTTCTTTCTGGTACATAAACACAGATTAATTCTTTCTTAAAAACAAACACATACCTCATATATTCTTCCTTAAAATCCAGAAAATGGAATTAGATTTAGTAGTGGTTTATTTCCTATTTAGCCTTTGCTTAGTGAAGGTAATAAAAATACAGTCATAGTTATTATCTCATGAGGAACTAAAAAGCAAACAAAAATTTGCAAATTATTTCCCCTTAGAGTGCATCCTGTTATATTGTCATTAATTGTGTAAGTAGCCAATTTTCCTGCCTGTTATCTATATTTAATCAGCTTATCACAAACCTTTTATCATAAACTGTACTTGTTGTATCCTACCTTTACTTGGTGAAATGTGTCCCTAGTACGTTTTGGCTGTTCTTTGAAGGTCACCCCCTTGTAATCCTACTGTGTTCTTCTTTCACAGTCAGAAATTCACAGAAACTATTCCAGGAGGGTTAAAAAACAGTCCACTGCTTCCAGAACCCTTTTTGGGTAGTTTTTGGACTTTATACTTTTTATACAAAGCTCTGCTGAATCATATGCTGGCTACCGAATGATGGATCTGCTTTCTGATTCATTTCCAGGAGGAAATTTTTTTGTTGTTGTTGTTTCCCTGCAGTAAGTAACTCTCCATGAGAAGTGGAAGGAGATTGGAGATTTTCATTCATTTGATCCCATGTGTTAATTCAAGACTGGTATGATGTTTTGGCACAGATATTTGTATTTGGACAGAATTATCATGGCTTGGAAAACAAATCCTTCTGTAGTTTCCATTAATAAATCTAAGTTATCTGTCTACTTTAGAAAGACAAAATCCTTTATGTCTCTGCTAGCTTATATGAATTTTAGATGTTTAGATGTGCTAGCAAATATATTGTTAACAAAATACTATTATTAGAATGATTTTCTTCTTATCAAAGACTTTAGCTGTATTTGGAAAATGCCAAAATACATAGCTAAGTTAAATTTGTTTGATAGGAGCTGAACCTGTGATTTCATGGGACTAGGGAATTCCCAGCTGAGGAAATACCCTCTTCCAATGCAGATCAGCACCTTTTCTTCAATTTGTAGTCATAAACATTTTCCTGGGATACTGAGAGATTAAATGACTTACCCAACTTCACACAGCCAGTAGCATCAGAAATGGGACTTGAACCCAGATCTCTGGCTTGGAAATATACCAGACCACCTCTCAAATTTTGAATTCATGTAAATAACCAAGGAATTGAATCATTGAGATGATTATGTCCTATAAACATAGTCTATGATAGTGTCTATATATTTAGTATATAGTACATTGTGTATTGTGGACCCTTTCTAAACGTTGATGATAAGGAAACATTCTAATTACTGTGTAAAACATAAAATAGGCTTAAATTACATTATACTCATCTTATCCACAGGGAAGTCTTTTAACACATTCCTGCTGAATTTAGTAAGAACTGCCTTTACTGCTGTGCATAATAAACACTGTTCAATAAATGTATGATTGTAGTGATCATGATGGTAAATTGATGGGAACCTGAAATTTATACATTGTTAAGAGGACTTAAATTTCTGAACTAGGCTAATGCTGACCTTGAAATGGGGAGAATTTGCCCCTATTTTTAGAGGTGAAAGCACTTCTGTCTCCTTTTTGCCTTTTAAAATAGAAGATATGGCAAGAAATCAAATCTAATTATTCTTTTGTAGTAATTTATCTATAAACGATCTGCCTATTAAGTATACAGTGTTTAATTAGCTCTGCATCATTTTTATTGACACTCATTTGACATGACTGGCATATTTGTTTTAGCCAAAATATGTTTCAAATTAATAAATGATTATATCTTTATGAGAAATTGGGACAGGAAGTGAGAGGAGGCTTGCAAGGCCATAAGAATAGATGGTAAATATTAATTTGATACAATCATATATTTGAGGTGACAAAATTAGGATAACGTATACATTGATGAGCATTCTCACCACTGCCACATTTCTAAATTTATTTCATGTAAAGTGTTTAAACTGTTCCTTGCTCATGAAGTTAGTGAAATAAAAGTCTGAAAATGTAATATTGTTCTACAAAAAGTGACATCAGTGTCTACAACTGAATGAAAGTAAAGTTAAGTCAAGGTTTAATGTAGTGATGGGACTTTATGAGTTTGATAAAAATTGTGTGGTTTAGGCCATATCTGCTTGATTCTAAAACTACAGAGTTTATTTACATGAGGCTGCACTGTCAAAAGATTATTTAGCTGAGCAGCTGGAGTATTTTGGTGTTTTATATGACAAATGGCTTACACCTTAAAATTGCAATTATAACAATTGAAATGCACAATCCTCATTATTATCTTATAAACTTTTAATAAATGACCAACATTTAGAATTACATTCAGAATTTGTAGCTCAGTCCATTTTAGCAGGCAAATGTGTACGTTCCTACTGTGCTCAAGGCACCTTGTGCTAAGTCCTAGGGACACAGAAATAAAGAGGGAAAATAGCTTTTGTCCTCAAGAAGTTTATATTTTACTAGGGGGTAATAATTTTATTAGCTGACATATAAAACTTTAAGGTGTGCAAAGCACTCTATGTACATAATTTCATTTGGATCTTACAATAACCCTTCCTATGGAGTGCTTGCTAATATTATTCCTATTTAGCAGATTAGAAAACTGAGCTTGAGAGAAATTAAATGATTTGGCCATGGACACACAGATAGGAAAGTGGCAGACCTCTCTAGAACCCTCATTCTTCTTGAGGTCTTGAAAGTTTAAACAACTTTTCCAAGAGGTAGAGCCTGAATTAGAACCCATGTCATTTTGTTCTTTTAAAATTATTTTTTGAAAATCTCTCTTGGGTCTTTTTGAATTTCTTTGAGCACTCCTTTGCTGGCACCTCTTCTTTCACTTGCTTCTTAAGTATGGACGACCCTCATAGAACTGTCGTTGGCTTCTTCTTCTGTACCTACATTTTTCTTTGTGATTTCATCCATTCATCACCTGTTCTAGCCTACACTTAGAAAAGGATTCTCTCTGCAGTGTACCTGGCAAGTGTTTGTCTAGCCAAATGCCACCCCAGGTCACTCCCTCCCGCTTTTGGATAGCTCCAGTTATTAGGAACTTTTCCTCTCATACTGAGTCGATATTTTCCTCTTTGCAGATTCCACCCTTTTTCTCCTAGTTCTTCTCTTTGAGGCTAAGCAGAATTATTCTAATTCTTCCAAATATACTGTATTATAGATCAATTCACACTCAAGATCAACCATTTTTCAAGTTTTGGACTAGATAATGCTCTGAACCCCCCTAAAAAGTATCTTTCCCATGTGGAGAATACTTTGAAGAACTATGCTATTCAGCTGTGTCAAAGCTGTTTCATCTGCCATCTTCCCTAGGTCCTAAAATTGTTCTGTGGAGAGGTCCTGTGACCCTGTATTCATATCTTCTTTGTGGCCAATGAATAGGTTGGGATGGGGGAGCACTGAACTGTTTTATTTTTTTCCTAATCCTCCCCAAGTTCTATGTTCCTCTCAGTGAGCAAAGTCCCTCTACCAATGCATATCAGCAGCTATTCTATGGTTTATAGTCTTAGTCTTAGACACTTGCCTAGGATTGTAGGGCCAGTATGTGTCAGAGATTATATTTGAACCCAAATCTTCTTGATTCCTGTCTGGCTCTATCTTCTGTATCATGCTGCCATTCCTATCTCTTGATAAATGAGATATTTTTGTAGGGATATGGTTTTCATTCTAGTCATTTTCAGTCGTATCCAACTCTTCATGACCCCAGTTGGGGTTTTCTTGGTGAAGATATTGGAGTGGTTTGCCATTTCATTCTCCAGCTCATTTTACATATTAGAAAACTGAGGCAAACAGGGTTAAGTGACTTGCCCAGAGTTACATAGCTAAAAAGTGTCTGAGGCCAGATTTGAACTAAGGAAGCAGAGTCTTCCTGACTCCAGGCCCAGTATCTGTGCCACCTAGCTGTCGTGAGGTATGGTATTTGTGTTTAATAAAATTTCTGATTCTGCCTTTCTCTGAAGAATACTTGGTATTGCTAAATATGTAATTCTTACTATGAAATTATAGAGCAGTCAGTCAGTTAACATTTACAAAGTACCTACTATGTTCCAGGCACTGTGCTAAAATGCTAGTGATACTAAAAAAAAAAAAAAAGAAGCAAAAACAAACCAGTCCCTGCTCTCAGGTAGCTCCCAATCTAATGGGGGAGACAACTTACAAACAAGTAGGTACAAACAATCTGTAATACAGGAAGGATTGAAAATAATCAACAAAAGCAAGGCACTAGAATTAAGCAAGATCAAGAAAGGCTTCCTCTAGAGGGTAGAATTTTAGCTGGGACTTGAAAGAAGCCAGAGAAACCACAAGGTAGAGATGAGGAAGAAATAAAGTGTGTTTTTCAAATAAGTGTAAACTTAGAAATAGTTGTACCAGGCACGGGCAGAATATTGAAGAGCTCTACCCCATCTTTTGAATTATTAAACTTATTTTCAACAATGCTGCTCTTTCATGCAAGCCATCTTGGGTTTTTACACAAATATTTGTTTTAAACCAATTTTAATTTCCATAATATTTTTCCTTTCTGTAGTTTCCTATTCTTGCGGTCCCTTTTGTAGGGCTAAGTTTCCAGCTCCACCACCTGCTATGCAACATGCTCCTCTCCCTTGCATGAGACATTATTAACTTAATTTAACTAGGAATCTGTTATATTTCCAGGAACTGCTATTATGCCAAGTCAGTCAGTGTGAGGATAGTCAAGTTACCCTCATAGTCTTAGAATTCTAATGTTGGGAAGTAATGTTTGATCAGCATAAGTTTTATGATTAAATATTTTTTGTAATTTTTCATATAAAGGAAGATTAGTATTTATAGTATATATGAAGTAGTGGGATTATTAAGTTGAGTCTGGTTTGTTGGTTTTGATGCCTGATGTCAATAAGTATAGACAGCCTGATATAAAATAAAAGGCACTAGACTTAGGGGTCATTGGATTTACTCAGTCAATAAATATTTATTAAGTGCCTACTAGGTGCCATACATTGTGCCAAGAATCCTAGGGTGGAAATTTGAGCCCCAGCTCTGCCACTTAGTAGCTTTGTAACCTTGGAAAGTCATTTAAAATTCTCTAACTTGCTGTTTCCTTCTGAAAAATGTTCAGGGTGGATTAGATGACCTTATGAATTCTTCTTTCCTTCACAGTCTATAATTCTAAGAAATGAGGTTAAGATCATTTTAACTGGCAGAGAAAATGATTAGTTTCCATACATGTATTATTACATGTATTACACTAATATATTACACTGAGCAGTTTGAGATTTTTGAAGGCCGCCCACTGGATGATACAGATGCTTCTAAGTAACATTAAAAAGATAGAAGTATTTCTCCTTGTCTTAGAAAAGGGATGCAAAAAGAGGCAAAAGACAGTCCATTCCCTGGAGGACCTTACAGTCTAATGAGGGAGACGACATGCAAACAAATACTTACATATAAACAACTTATGTACAGGATAAATAGGAAATAATGAACTGAGGGCATTAAGAGGGGTTAGGGAGGGCTTCCTAGAGGAGATGGGATTTTAGCAGGTCAGTAGTTGGAGTGGAGGGAGAGAATTCCAAGCATAGAGGACAGCCAGAGAGACTGCCGAGAGCCAAGAGATGGAATAACTAGTTCATGGAACAGCAGGGAGGTCAGTGTTACTGTACCGAAGAGTATGTGTAGGGGAATAAGGTATAAAGAGACTGGAAAGTTAGCATGGGGCTAAGTTGTGAAGTGCTTTGAATTCCAAAGAAAGATAATTTGCTCCTGGAGGCAATAGAACCACTGGAATTTGCAGGGCGGCGGGGAGGTAACAGGGCCAGATCTATACTTTAAGAAAATAATTTTGGTGGCTGAATGAAGGATGGATTGGAGTGGGAAGAGACTTGAGGCAGGCATACTGTTGCAGTAATCAAGGTATGAGATGATGAGAGCCTACACTAGAGTGCAATGTCAGAAGAGAGAAGGGGGCATATAAACAGGGATGCCTAGTGGAAGGAATAGCCCCATTAACAATATCATGTATCTGCTGAAGTATACACATAGACCTACACATTTTTAACAATTTGGGGAGTGGGGGATCACCTGTGATTTCATTAGTTCATGAAACTCCTTAGTATTGAAACTTCATCTCTTCATTGAGATCCCCAACTCATTTTCAACTTTGTAGTACTATAGAGGTGCGTGGGATACTGAAGGATTAAATTACTTGTCCATGTTCCCACAGCTAGTTTGTATTAGAAACAGGACTCGATCCAGATCTTTCCAAAACTGGCCCTCTATCCACTAAGCTACATTGCATCTCCTATATAGACATTAAAAATAATAAATTCAGGGGGTTTTTTTTGTAATGGAACAGCCCAGATAACATTTCTTTCAGTCAATAGGATACAGTCTCCAATTTATTATGACAGTACAATTATCTAATACTTTGCCTTCCCATCTCCAGCCTCTGCTGTGCTTCCCAATTAGGGTGTGTGTGTGTGTGTGTGTGTGTGTGTGTGTGTGTGTGTGTGTGTGTGTGTGTGTGTGTGTGTGATGTGACATTTAAATATCTGGGGTATAAAGAGGTAGCAGAATCCCTAGAGCATCCCCTCCTCACTCCATGTATTTACATATGCCGGGGTTCTGATTACACAGACACATATAAATACCAAAGTACAGTTTGACTATGATTACATTCAAAGCAACAGCTATGAGTTTAATAAAGGCATATCTCACTTAAACAGATGATTAGACTTGATATTAGAAATGTAAAAGGTCTATTCTTGAGCTGTAATAGTAGTATCCATTTGTCTTGTTTTGATGCTACTCTTTTGTATTTCTGCATAAAAATACATTTTTACATATTTGTATTGTGTATTTGTAAAAATTTTTTCCATTTATTTCTGGAAAGTACATTGCCTTACTATTGAGTCTTCCTTTCTTGCTGGTCTAGAAAAGTCATGTTTGTAATATATGACTATTCATCATAATTATAGGTGGTTTTAGTTATGGGTGACATAGGCAGGCAGCTTTGACATGTAGGTATTAAGAAGACCCTTGCCTATATTCCTCTTTTCCCAGCAGTAGTCTCTCTTCA